GCTCGAGCTGAAATCCCTGCAGGAGGAACCGGTGGAGGGCTTCCGGATCACCCTGGTGGATGAGTCCGACCTCTACAACTGGGAGGTTGCCATCTTCGGACCCCCTAATACCCTCTACGAAGGCGGCTACTTCAAGGTACCCCCCACCCCCTCTCAGACCAGGCTTCCCCCGGAGGCCGCAGCTTTCGGCTGTTTTCGGGGCCCAGAGTGAGCGCGGGTGAGCGGAGGGGGCTCCTCACCTCGCAGCCCCCTCCCCCCATCCGTAGAGGCAGGAAGGCCTTGCTTGCTCACCAAGTGCCTTTTCTTTGTCATGGGGGCGGGGGCGGGAGGCCAGACTGCATCGGGAAATAGGAAAGCCTCTGTGGCTAGGGTAGTGGCTACCGGAGGAGGAGGAGGAGGAGGGCGGTCTTTGTTTTGTTTCCCCAGCTGAGGGTGTTTGGGAAGCCAGGTGGTCTGTCTTTCCCCTCTCGTCAGAATCATCTCTGCGCCGGTTGGAACTACCCCAGAGGGCAGAGTGACCTGCACTTAGGGGATTGGACCTTCCTTTTGGGGGTGGGGGTGGGGGGGAAGGGGTATTAGCCGGTCATTCTAGCCGCTGTACAGTGACCTGACGTTTTGGGGGTTTGATGGGCTTCTTGCATAGTGGTAGTTTCAACTTCGCATTCCAGTGGGCGGTAATGAAGAATAGGACCCAAGGGGTGGTAAACAAGGGTATCTGCGTTTTCTTGCCATTATCCCCTTGCGGGAATTGTAATTTAGCCCCCTTTCTGTCCTCATTTTCTGTTTACTTCAGTAGTGTTTCAAAATGCCCTTTGTCCTCACCCTGCCACCAACTTTACTGGCTTCCCCCTCCGCCCCCCACATGTAGAAACAGCCACAGAGGGCGGAACGTGTTATGTAGGGAGATTGATAGTTTCCCACTTTAGGAAGACAAAATCGAACCCTTTTGCTCAGATGGCTAACTCTAGTAGATGGGGTGGTCTCACAGATGAAAAGGATCATCTGAGGTGAGATGGTTTCACGGAGTAGGACGGCTCCTTAGCGACCATAGACATTGTGTCTATTGTTTTCCAGGATTTTAGAACAGCGGTTATTACCATTACTGAATCTCGGATTTTTTTTTTATTCCAAGGTAGGTAACTTGGAGATAGATATTGAGGGTTTTTTGGTGTGACTTTTACCATTTTTGGAGGGACAGATCACAGATTGAAGATTGAATGTTTTAAATGGTGGGGTATAGAGACAGGAAGTGATGCTTAGGAATTGATTTAATTTTTATTTCCAAAATTAGGTAAAATAGGGCCGTGAGTCAGTCTTAGTTTGTTTTGAAGGGAGGGGCTATCTTGGCAAAAGTTCTAAATGAGTGTCTTAGTCATGTAGTTACGTGTGTTTTTAAGGAGTACCCAATTACTTAAGTTTTCTACTCTTCTAAAGGTAGAAGCCTCAGTTTCAGGCTTGAAATTGGGTCTACTTTGTAGAAAATGTAAAGAATTGATAGAGGAATGTTTAATATTTATGCCTGTGATAGTCACCGAACACTTAGTTTAAAGCTTGTATTTAGAATATTGTGTATACTAACTATATGCTTCATACACTCTACTTTTCAGACGCAGATATTTGTAAAATCTGGCCAACTTTAGTGAAGTTTAATTTCCAAAAAGTATCATTGTTTGGTACAATTGATAATCTAGTTAAATGGAGACTAGCTAGAATGATCTTACTCCAATGCAGTTTGTTAAAAAAAAAAAGGAATAACAACAGCAACAAAAAAAACTATATGAAAGGAAATAATGGGTTACAAATTGTAGTGTTTTTGCTTAAGCAATTGTGAAAGGAGTGTGGCAAACCCTCTCAGTTTGGAATAGGTAATACAGAAAGAAGATTCCCTGCAGCATACAGTGATTTAAATTAAATGCTTTTTAATTTCAGTCCTATTTGAAGAGAATGGTTTAATCTACAATTTCATTCTATATGTTAGATTTCTTAATCTTGGAGTGTTTTTAACCTTTAATTGTGACATGTAAAACGTGTGAAAATTCTTAAACAGTCTTTGTGTTTCAGCCTTGTGTGAGAATTTTGTTGTTTTTCTTCTGTTTTTTTCCTTCTTAATATGAGTTTTTATACCAGAGTCCTTTGTTGGAAAAAGGCAAATTTATGGTCATGAGCAGTTAACACTGGTGATAGGTTTAAAACCATTGTTTTTTTAATTTCACTGTTTTTGTCTTTAAACAAGGCATTTAGTGTGCTCTACTACAGCTGCAGTTAAAAGTTGGCACAGACCTTTCTCTACTACTTCCTTTGTTGAATGATGGTCCTTCAACATTTAATGTAATTTATTTTCAAGTTAAACTCTTTTCCTCATCTTACATTGCAGTTTCAGGAGACAGTGGGCTGCCGGTCATTCTTTAAATTTTTCATAATGTAACTCCTTTAGCTTTCACATATTAACAGGCTTCTAACTGATCTTTTTCATCATGAAATAGTTGGCTCCAGTGTGTTTTAACTGAGCATCTGTTGTGATAGAGACTTGTGAAACCTGTATTTCGCGAATTTGTTTTTTCATCCTGTTTTTGGTTTTTAAATACCTTGAATCTGTGTGATTCTTAGCTGAGTGTCTGATTTTCTGCACTTATAAAATCTTTTTAGACCTCACTATTTTTTGTCTAGTTTCTTAATCTCATTATTTACCCAGTGAATTTCTTTGCTGCTTTGCATTTTTCTTCTGGGGTCTATGATTATAGAATAAAAAGTAGGGAGATGGCTTAGAACATCCAGAACACATCTGAACTTAATTTTGCTAGTGTGGAGCAAGTTGGAATTTTATTGTTACCGAAAGATTAAATTGTTGATCAAGGCAACAGTTAGTGATAACTTTTAACAAGTTTACTCCCATTCCTGTAAAAAGAACTGTCTTTTCAAATAACTCCCGATAACATAACTTCATCTGGCTGTTTTAGTATAGAACCTCCTTGGAACTCCTGCGTTATTTATCTAAATGCATGATAGCAGTGAGTCTAGAGATCAGAAAGTGAGAGTGACTATTTCATGAAGTGCATAACAAAAGTTTAAATGATACAGAGAGCTTAAAGTATAGTAGTTAACTTTTTGTAGTTTTGGTTTTATTCAGTAATATAAGGGAATGAAATATGGGCATGTTTCATTTTTGGATAACTCTCAACTGATAAAATTTAGAAAGTATTTATATACGCAAAGTTTTCCTTAATAGGATGTTGTTTATCAGACTTAACATTTTGTTTTATATTAAAGAAGCTCCTCAATAATTGTTTTTAAAAATAAAGGATATGCATTATTTTCGTTTCTTCTGGAATAAATGAATCTGTTTTCCCCTCCTTCCAAAAAAGAAACCAACCAGACTTAACCCCCTTGTGTCTGGCAGTTTTCTTCAGATTATAGCATACTCTATTTTATGACTCTAATTCTTAGTATATAGTTGAAATAATTCTTAAATGACTCTTAGTCTTTTTGACATATGGATCCTTTTGAGAGCTTTATCAGTTTTCCTCAGAAGAAGATGAACAATATAGTAATTTGTATGCACTTTCAGAGAGTTAACTGATAGGTTAAGAATCCCGTTTTTAAGAGGGGGGTGGGGATAGCTCAAGTGGCAGAGCACGTGCTTAGCATGCCCCAGGTCCTGGGTTCAATCCTCAGTACCTCCTGTAAGAATAAATAAATATATTTACCTCCCCCCACCTCCACTAAAATAGAATAATTAAGTAATACAGCAACAAGTAAATAAAATATTAAAAAAGAAAGGATAAAAAAATCTTTTTAAGGGATTTGGACAGGCAACTTTAAAAACAAAATTAAATGACTTTGAGATTATGGAAGTAATGCTTTTTTTAATGCTTTCTTTTTTTTTAATTATATGATGAGTCAGTCAGTTAAACTTTTTATTTAAAAATTTTTCTTCAGTCATTTGAGAATACCTCTTAGGGCTTTTAGCTGTAACCTTTTTTAGAAGCTGAACTTGAGTGCTAGGTGAACTAAGGCAACATTGTAAATGGAAACATAGTCAATGTCTAGTGGTTTCTGGCACAAATACAATTTTAGTGCCCCCTCAAAATATAGCACCTCAGTATTTTGGAGTATGATTTTACCCTGTTAAGTCTTAGAATTGCCATCAGCCAGGTAGCACTTGTGACCTAGTTGTGAGAGACCCTTCTGTTGAAATTTTCTGGTAAAATTTTTTAAATGCCAGTATCAGTGTCCTAAATTTGTTAAAAATAAAAATTATTTCTTTTTGAATGAAGGATTTGAGTCCTCAGTACTTTTTGCTGCATATTGATTCCTCTTTCTGAGATTTGTGTTGTGTTAGTAAACAGTATTTATTGAACACACATCAAAGGCAAAGCACTGTAAAAAGAGCAACTACTTCATAAATAGTGAAGTATTAGGACATTTATAACCTTTATGAATGATCACCATAAAAATCTTTGTACAGACTTTGAAATACAGAAATGTGAGTTGTAGCTGTTATTAACAGAATTATAATGGTAATTAAAATCAAAGCTTTTAAAGTTTTAAGGCTAGTTAACGCATTGGTCAACATAACCACAGTCTATCATGATAAAATGTTCTGTTCTATATTTGCAACTTAGTATTAGTGGGCCTAGTCTAAGTTTCCAGAAGAATCTGTCGGAGATAGTTGAAATAAAGGAGGCCATCTAACAAATTGGCCCGCGTCTGCTAATCTAGTTATGGGAAAATAACAAAGAGTTATAAATCCAGAGTTTAGGATTACAGAACTCCATCTTGCTGAAAGGTCGTGTTTAAAAGTTTAACTTCTTTTATGTTCCTGAACTTCTTTTGGATTGTTTTATGTACAACTTACGTAGATATCCAAATAAGACTGAACTCTTTCTTTGAAAGTGCTCTCTCTGCACAGAATTAATTCATTTCAACTTTATTCAGTGAGAAATTGTTATTCAGAGTTTATGCTTATGTATCTTTATTTTTTTTGGGGGGGAGAGAGAATTAGGTTTGTTTATTTATTTGAGTAAAGGTAGATTTATTTAGAGAGATGCATACCACATAGAGTGTAAGGCAAGGAAAGAGGCGTAGGAATTGGGTGCTCAGGTTAAAGTAAAAGTAGGTACACACTCCATAGACAGA